ATCTAACATTTTGGGCCACCAAAATCGTTGTACTAAGTTAGCACTCGTTTTCTTGTAGCCAAAGGGCCCAGTTGCATCATGACATTTGCCTAAAAATAAACTACGCAACTGTTCACTAGATGGAACTACCAATCTCTTGACTCCGGCCTTATCAAGATAGATTAGTCCATCCACCATCACAAACTCACTTTATGTAGCCTTGTCTTTCGCCTGAAGTTTGCGGATGATGTCCATCGTGACAAGGTCTTCCTGATAGGCTCCCACAAATGATTGAGTTACTTCATTAGATACGCCAAATTCATAAACTAGCGCACCTAGGTAGTCTGCTCTACGGGATAGCGCGTCTGCAACCTTATTGTACTCCCCCTTCAAGTACTCAAGCTTGAAGTCATATTGGTCTATGACCTCAATCCATCGCTTGAGTGCATCAGAAAGAGCCGGTTGAGTCTTGATCCATTTGAGGGTCTGATGATCAGTCCTCAGATAGAAGAACCTTCCCAAAAGGAAGTGTCCCCAATGGACAAGTGCCTTNCTTGATCCATTTGAGGGTCTGATGATCAGTCCTCAGATAGAAGAACCTTCCCAAAAGGAAGTGTCCCCAATGGACAAGTGCCTTGTAGAGAGCATAGAGTTCCCTTTCGTAGGTGGACTTAGCCAGCTTCTTCGAAGGCATTTTCTTACTCATGTACTCAATCGGTCTCAACTTTTTCCCATCCTGCTGAGCCAGCACTGCGCCAATGCCGTATTGGCTTGCGTCAGTGGTCACTATGAACGGCTTCTGCAGATCGGGAACCATGAGAACTTCATGATTCATGAGTGCATGCTTCAATCTTTTGAAAGCACCCTCGCACTCATCACTCCAGTCCCACGGTGTGTCAAGTCGAGTTAGATCAGTCAAAGGAGAGGCGACAATAGAATAGTTCTTTACAAAGTTCCTATAGTAGCTGCACATTCCTAAGAATGATCTGACCTCAGTGATTGTCTGAGGTCATGGCCAGTCTTGAATACTAGCCACCTTCGCATCTTCCGGCCTAATCCCTTCCGCGGATACTTCATGACCCAAGTATAGTATCTTAGTGCGGCCAAACTCGCACTTCTCTAAGTTGACCTTATACTTGTGTTGTCGTAGGAGTGAGAGTATTGTCTCAACATGCTGTGCGTGCTCCTCGACAGACTTACTAAAGATCAGAATGTCGTCTAGATAGACTACGACAAACTTACCTTAATGGTCATGGAAGATCTGATTCATAGCGTGCTGGAATGTACCCGGCGCATTACAAAGACCAAAAGGCATCACTACAAACTCATACAGACCATAACGAGTCTGAAAAGCTGTTTTGTGTTGGTCCTCAGGTCTTATTGCGATCTGGTGGTATCCGGATTTCAAGTCTATCTTTGTATAGTACTTGCATCCCTGCACCCTATCCAGTAGGTCGTCTATGCGAGGTAGAGGCTCTGCGTTTTTCACCGTGATGGCATTGAGGCCCCTATAATCAATGCACATCCTCAAAGTACCCCCCTTCTTCGGTACGCATAGCACGGGTGATCCGTAAGGGGAAGTACTAGGTTGAATCCATGGAATTACACTCCATGGAATTACAGAAATCCAGAATGCAAAATCACACTGAAGTCCAAGTAGTCAAAGCCAAAGCAGATAGCACATGGAACCGAGTAACCATCCAATTGAGAATGATACAGAAGAATCGTGAGTCAATGTCCATGCCCAACTGGGCAACACCAACAGCATAACCCAAATGTAGCTCTCTCTTGTGAATGGCGCCAGGCGCCCTATCTACTCTACAGCTTTCCTACAACTACAGCAATGAAAAGCAACCAGACAACTCGACTACCAACGAGTGATGATGTCAACACCAATGCCGACCTCCACCATCACCAGGTACGTGTCATCTTCCCCACACTCTCCCTTGTTACCCACACAGCACCCTTCACCTCCGAAGTACCACCTTCGCCCTCACCTCCCCTGCACCCTCTTGCGGCCCAGGCTATGGTCGCCAGTGCCCTCAGTGCAGGCAGCGCCCTACCGCCTAGCGCTGGCCTGCTTGCTCCTAGCGCAGCACTGCCTTGCACAGCGCAGCACACATGCATCCGCGCAGCGTGCC